GGGATGAATGGGATGAACGGGGATGGCGGGCACAGCTGGGGCGAGACGAGGGAAGGGAATGCGCAAGAACCCATGCAGGAGGAGCAAGAAAGGAGTGCGCGCGCCTGGAAGAGGTCAAGAGCCCATGTGACTTTTGTCCTCTTCTTGGTTTGGATCTCTTTGAAGGCGATCTGGAGGCGCTCAGACATCTGAGATGTCCAACTTTGCAAGTGTTTCTTCGCTACCTGGGCAGCCCTCTCCTTCATCCACCTTCCCTTTCAACCTCCCCATCTCTCGCGGCTCCTTCCACCCCCGCGACTCACTGCGCGCATGCATGCAACCAAACTCACGCGTCGCCCCACTTCACTTCAGACTTGTCCCCGCCCTCCCCACCAACAACTGAACTCGTTCTCTCCTGCGCCATCTTTCTGCCCCCCTTCTTCCTCGGGCGCGAAGCAGGGGTCGAAACGAGGGGAAGGGGAAGTCCGCGCTTGACGTTTCGGCTGGATGGGGGCGGGCGAAGGGGGGGGCGTGGCAGAGGGCAGAAGGCAGGGGATGGACGCGCTGAGCGTGAGAGCACGAGTGGGCGGAGAGCCAGTTCGAGGTGGTGCAGGGCAGAGGGCATGGAGGCAGTGGGAGGGATGGACTGAGCAAAGGAGGCGAGGTGGAGTGGACCCCGGGTAGCCTTGACCCCCAAGTCCTTGTGAGCTTTGGCCAGGGCGTTCTCCACCACCCCGTCTATGAAGTACAGGTTCCCGTTTGTCGCCTGGCAAGTCGGGCTCATGTCCTCCGTTGCGCCATTACGTCCTCCCCTGCCCCCTCCTCGCTCCATGCCTCTCCAGCCTCGTTTTGTCCACTGCCTCGCATCCCCTCCTTCCCCGATCCCGCGCCTCGATGACGTCTCTGAAGAGCGGATGCTTCTTCATGATCGCTGCCTGCTTGTCCTTCGCCTTCCCGTCCATGGCCTAGCTGGATCGGGGCGAGGAGGAGGGGGAGGAGGAACAGGAGGGGGAGGAGGAGGGCGGGGCGCGAGGAGGAGGAGGGGGATGGGGGAGGGGAAGAGGGGGGAGGAGGAGGGAGGAGGGAGGGGGGAGGAGGGCGGAGGCAGAGGGAGGAGGGAGAAGGGAGGAGGGAGGAAGAGGAGGAAGAGGAGGAGGAGGGAGAGGGGAAAGGAGAAGGAGGTGGGCCTTGATAAACGTCGGTTTATCAGGCTCTATATGCTTGCCGAGGGCTGCGGCCAGCACCACGACATTGGAGAACGCCGCCCGAGCTGGCATCCCCGCCCGCGCTCGCGCGCGAGCGCGCGCCTCCCCGCGCGCGGCGCGCGCGGGCCAGAGCCGAGAGTGGGGAAGGCGAAAGGCGGAGGGTTGAAGACGCAGGAAGGAGGGGATGCAGGACTGGGCGGGCAGGGCGAATGGGAACGCGGGCAAGCAGCCGCAGCCCATGAGGAGAGAGCAACGCGCGCGAAAGGCGGAGGAGGGGGGCGGGGGGGGACGGGCAGGACTGCGCGGGCAGGCGGAAGTGGGAAAGCGGGCAAGCAGCAGCAACCGGCAGGCAGTAGCAACAAAGCAGGCAGGCAGGCAGGCAGGCGAAAAGCGGACTGCAACAGCAGTGGGCTGGAGGAGGAGGAGGACGAAGTGTGGGCAGGGGGGCATGGAGTCAGGGCGGACAGGGGGGCACGATAACGAAATCCATATATATATATATACATATATATATATATATATATTGCATGACTATCAGTCATACTATGTGTATTTGTGTATGTATATATATACATACATATATATACATATATATATATATATGAAATCACAACAAACGTGCAAACTCACACAACTACAAACATGCGTCAGAGTTGTCTTGTAAAACGCGTCAGATCTTCCATGGACAATGCGTCAGATTTTCGAAAGAAAATGCGTCAGATTTTGCAGCAAACTTCAGAGTTTCCGACGCATTTGCTGTCACACATTTTCCAGAAGAATGCGTCAGAAATTTCCGCCAAATTCGATGAAACCAAAAATGCGCATTAATGCGTCGGAATGCGTCGGCCCGCACCTCTGGGTATGGGGCCACGAAACGTGGGAGGGGTGTACCAAAATTGGGCGGCGCCGCCATGCGGACTGCGCCACTGGGACTTCAGGTGGAGTTCCCTATGGAGCCACGAAACGTGTGAGGGATGTGTTAAAATGGGCGGCGCTGGACCTCCTCTATGGGGCCACGAAACGTGTGAGGGGTGTGCCGAAACAGAGGCATGCGGAGAGCAAAGGCAAGGAGTGGGAGGAGGGAGGACGGGGGAGGACGGGGGGAGGAGGGGGAGAGGAGAACGCGGGGCGACGTCTCTTCAAAACAAGGACCCAACACCACAGGATGGTTGGGAAAAAAACCCTGCCCTGGCGCTCCCGAGAACCCCTGAGCATGAGAGCGGCGGGGAAGCCCGTCGTCGCGGCGCCAAAAGGCGCCACGATTGAGGACGGGCGAGGGAGAGAGGAGGAGGAGGAGGAGGAGGAGGAGAGGAGGGAGGAGGAGGAGGAGGAGGAGGAGGGAGGAGAGGAGGGGCGATGGGAGGAGGAGGAGGAGGAAGGCCTGAGGAGGAGAGAGGAGGAGGAGGAGGATCGATGGGATGAGGAGGAGGCTAGGAGGAGGAAGGGAGGAGGAGGAGGAGGAGGAGGAGGAGGAGGAGGAGGAAGAGAGGAGATCGCGCACGCGTCGGCCCTCCAACCCCGCCAGCAGGACGGTTCGATGCCTTCCGTGGCCGCTGACGGCGGCACTCGCGAGCGGCGAACATGTCCGTACCCGCGCCCTCGCGGCGCGGTCTGGATTCCAGGGCGCGATCCCTAGGGGGCCACATGCGAACCCTACCCCTACCCCCCACGATTTCTGAGGGGGAGAGGGGAAGGGTTCGCACGTGGCCTCCCATTCCAGGGCGCGATCCCGCGCAGAGGTAGCCGTAGGGAGAGGTTCCGCGCAGGGGCCCCGGATCCGCGGGGTCGCGGCCCACTGGCTGGGCCCGCGCGGCCGCGGATGCGGGCTTGTTCTCGGATGCGGACAGACGTACTAGTACTACGCGTCCTCCTCGGAGGCGTGCGCCCGACCCGAACATATACAGTGCGTCCATCCCGTAGTATATCGTTTCCAGAGCGGTGTGGCCAGAAAGCGCCCGACTGGAGCATATACTGGAAGACCTCTCGGCGCGCGCGTCGTCCCTTCGGGGGCAACGCACACAGAGTATTGGTATGACTGGGTGGCGCCGTTACGTGTGTCGCCCACGAGGAAAGGTGGGATTGGGGGGACGCCATGCTTTCGAGGCACCGAAGGATGCTGGAGTCTCATGCCCCACTCCGGCGGGCCGCAGGAGAAGACAAGGCTGCGAAGCACGCTGGGCGTCGCGACGAGCGACCTGTGAAGAAGGGCCAGCTCTGTAGGCTGGCGGGAAAACCGCGCGCAAATATGACATCCGTGACCTGGCGGAGGGGAGCGGAACGGCGCCGGCAACGGGAAGCGGAACTTACAGTGAGGATCCATGCAAAGAAACACCCTGCTTGCCTCCAGGGTGTCCTGGGTGCCTTGGGTTTCGATGGTTCTGCCATGGAAAGCGCGACCTTCCCGCACACAACAACCAATGGACGTCCTGGGGTCTCAGGGTTGGGTTTCTTGCGGAAGGTTTCTTGTGGACTGGCCTCCACTGGAAGGGGAGCCGAGAGGGGGGACTGGCTCAGAGGAAGGGAACGTCGGCCCGCCGTCGGCGATGCCTCGCGGACAGATGGGTGATGGCCCCCCGCCAGCGACGCCGCACGTTCCTGGACAGGGCGGGCCCCGACATGCGATATGTCCTGGTTTGTTCCAGCACGGGACAAGTTTTTCATCCCGAGCCGGCTTTGGACGGTCTCCAGGCCCCGTTAATCGGGGATGGACAGACCCCCCTTTAGCAAAACGTGGTTTAGTGAAAACGACCTCGGGCCCAAACCTGGCGGGCGCAGGCCTGGAAAACGACGGCCGCGGCGCCCTCTCGAGAACCGAAAACGGACAATTCTGAAGGGGAACTGGGACACACAAATAAATACACACAAATAAAAATATCCCCCATATTTTCCCATATTTTCTGGGTTTTTGTCTTCCCCCCCACTTCCCATATTTTCCAATATTTTCTGGGAATCGACGAATAATTGTGTCTGTGTGTTTTTTCTCCTCCTGCAATTTACTAATCGACGTGTCAGGGTAGGAGGTCTGCCCACCCCCGAGTTAGGGGCCCCCAGAAGCCACCAACGCACAGTCAGAAGGCCCCCCGTCCTGCCCTTTGCTCGAGGACGCGAGCGGGGGCCTCGGCCCCGCCTCGGCGACGCATGGGGCTCCGGGCTCCGTGTCTCGGTTAAAGAGGGCCCAGGACCACCGCACCGGGAAGCCATCGGCGGGCGGGCTGACGCCTCTAAAGGGAAATCGGGGCACACAAGTAAATACACACAGATAAAAAGATTCCCCCTATTTTCCCATATTTTCTGCGTTTTTGTCTTCCCCCCCAAGTCCCATATTTTCCAACATTTCCTCGGAATCGAGGATTAATTGTGTCTGTGTGTGTTTTTTTCCCTCCTGAGCTTCGGCGGTGGCACGCCTGAGCGTCGCCCTCTGCTGGGTGGCGGTCGGGCGTGCCACCGTTCAGGGGTCGGTCCCCCGCACATGGCCGTGGTCTACGTCTGTCCTCTGAGTTGGAGGGGGAACAAAAGGGGACCCTGACCAAGACCGGATTCGGGAACTCCGTGCTGACCTTGATCACCGTCCATCTTGGTCTGTGCCATCTCGTGGATCATCATCGCGGCTCGGCGACGGCCCGCATGGACCATGACCAACATCGGCGTCAACAAAATCCCGCGGCCTCTTGGTCATGGTCAGCGTTCTTCTCCCCTCGATGACTGTCCCCCCCGAGCCCCCCCTCCCCCTCTCCGCGCACCTTGGCTTCCTACAGAGGCGAAGCGCGCTGCCTCGGCCGCTATATCAGCGGGGTGGCCTTCTCCCGCGGCTATCTGTCAGGGCGCCGCCTTTGGCCTGGCGTTGGCCTTCCGCAGGAGGTCCTGGTACCACTCGTCGTCGCTGCTGCTGACCTGCTCGCCGTTCTTCCGCCGCAGCTCTTTTAGGCGTTTGAGCCGCTTCTTCTCCCTCTGCTCCTGTCGGGCACCCGTGGCATCCGGGACAGACGTGATCTGGGCAAACTGAGGCCTTGTCTGCCGCCCCCAGGTACGATCCGGGAAAATCCTGGGACCGCAGGATCCAAACCGACTCCTGCCTCAGGAGAGTCCTGGGCAGCACCGACGTGGGGCAAAGTGTCTTACGGGAGACCTCGCGCGGAATGCAATCCGGATTCCTATGGATGTCCGAAGGAACCCTGTGGATTTGTTCGGAAGTCCTGTGGATTTCCGAAAGAATCATGTAAATCCTATGAGTTTCCTAAGGCTTCTTATTGATGTCCTCAGAACTCCGATAGATGCCCTCAGGATTCCTTTGGATGTCCTCGGCAACTCCCGCGCGAAAGACGGAGGCCCGAATCTGGAGTTGCCCCTGACCACTTCTTGCCCTGATGCGGTCAGGCACTTGCACTCAGCGCGTCGCGGCGGCGGCCCCGGCGACACGCGATGCCTTGCAAGAGGATGGTGTGTCGCTCCGCTCCGCAGGCCGGGATGCTCAGACGTTGACGCTCGGGGAGCGCGAAGCGGATAGCGTGTCGAGCCGCAGAGTGGTGTGCCAGAATCAGCGGCGCGAAAAGCTCAGCCAAAGTTCCTGACCGTGCATGGGGCAGAATGTGATCTGAGAGAACTTGCACTGAGTGCAATCCGCAGCAAGTCCGGCGCGAAATCGGAAGGCCCGACTCAGGTGCTATCTCTTACCACCACCTGCCTAGAGGCCTCCTGAATCAGACCCGGGCATCTGGGATCGGAAGACCGCCGATGCTTCGCTGATACATCGGCGATGCCTCCGCGATGCATCGGCGACTTCGGCGATGTATCGGCGACGTCGGCGTGTAGAACATCGGGCTACACATGGCGCCGCATCACCGACACATCGGCGATAGGGCGCCATCCTCTGTCCTCACCAACTCCGACACCATCCTGGAGGTCTACACCCCTGACCACCACATGCCCATACAATTCGGCTTCTGTGGCAACCCATTGGGGCCCTTTCTTGGCTGCAAACAGACGCTAATCGAACCTAAATCGACGCCAACCGACGCTGATCGACGCTACCTCGGCGCTAGCTCATCGACTACTAGACGCTATTCGGCGCTACTGCACTCTAAGAACGGAACTACGAAGGTATGCAAGACTTGCATCATTTCCTACCGAAGCCTGCCCTGATTCGGCGGCGAGCAAGGGGGGGACATGGGAAAGAGAAAGCCTTCTCAGAAATCGGCGAGACGTCCCAGCAGCCCTCGCGCCTTCCGAGAAGTTTTCTGCGTCTTCGGGAAGGCTGAGAAAACTTCTCAGAAGGCTGCGGGTCTTCTGAGCCTTCTGAGAAGGCCCGCGCCGTCTCACTTCACCCAGGCTCGCCGCCGAGTAGTGGGGAAACCAGCAGGTACCGATACCGCAACTCCCTGGACCTCTCTCGGGATGCGCTCCGACAAGAATCTCGAGGCGAAGCAAGCGGTGGCGACGAGGGCCTCCCAGGAGGCCCAAACAGATGGGAAGGCGATCGGGGATCTACTGACCCGGGCCAATTCAGGCCCGGGCCAGTCGGGCCTTGTAGGATGCTGCAACATCCTGCAGGATCCTGCGCCCAAGCCCGGGTCAGTGCGCCCCTGGCTCTGCAGGATCCTGCAAACTCCAGCGCTCTGACTGGCCCCCGTTTGCAGGTGACCCCCTTCTCTTGCGGAAGAAGAAAAACTTCACAAACAAAACTTTAAGCGCTCCGCGCGGGTTTCTTGGATCTGCGCTGACCCCCCCTCCCTGTCGCGCGGAACGCGCCTAGGCGGCGCCGGAGGCGCCGCCAGGGGGCCCAGCGCGGATCCAAGAAATCCGCGAGGAACGCCAGCAGTTTGTGCTTATGCCGTTTTTCGTTCTCCGATCCTGGGCCCGGGGAGACGAAGGAAACGCAGCGGTGTCGGGACCTTCCCCCCGGGGGCTCGCCTCACACACACACACACAAACACACACACACACACACACACAACACACACACACACACGCGCACACACGCGCACACGCACACACGCGCACACGCGCACACGCGCACACGCGCACACGCGCACACACGCACACGCGCACACGCGCACACGCGCACACGCGCACACGCGCACACGCGCACACGCGCACACGCGCACACGCGCACACGCGCACACGCGCACACGCGCACACGCGCACACGCGCACACGCGCACACGCACACGCACACGCACACGCACACGCACACGCACACGCACACGCACACGCACACGCACACGCGCACGCACGCACGCACGCACACACACGCACACACACACACAAAGCCGCACCTAGACGGCACATTAGCATAGAAATAGTACGAACGCGCACATGCAGGAAGAACACACACAAACAGAAACGTCGTGGCCGATCCTGCGTGCAGGGCGAGCAGGCGTGCAACCACCAGAAACTTTGTGCCGGTGACCTGCTGCGCGGTGATCTGCAAGACACGCGGGGCACGGGGGAACCAGAAGGAGTGGAAGGAGGCGGAACCAGGGGCTTGCCGCCGCCTGATACCCCGGGGCTCCGTCGGCCTCCTCCTCCTCCTCCTCCTCCTCCTCCTCCTCCTCCTCCTCCTCCTCCTGGGGCTCCGATCCTTCGCGCTGGCCTTGGCCGCCTCCAGGCTCGCCTCGAAGCCGGCGCCGTCGGCGGGCGGGGCGCCCCCGGGCGGCCGGCAGCGGGGCCGGGCCACCGCGGGCGCAGGCTGCTGCTGGTCCTCCCGCGCGGGCTCCTCCTGGAGAGGAGAGCTGGCCATCGCTGGAGAGAGAGCGATGCATCTCGTGAACAGGTGTTTGTAGAGAGACAGAGAGAGGGGGGAGCATTCGTATTGGAGAGTTGCGGGGAGGGCAGAGGAAGACGGAGGAGCTGGTTGAGGAGCAGGAGGGAGCAGGAGGGGCAGGAGTAGACAGGTAGCATGGTGGAAAAGGCGGAGCACGGGAGAGGGGGACAAAGGCAAAGGAGCAGGCAGAGAAGCAGGGGGAGGATGAGAGAGGATGACGAGGAGGCAGGAGGAGGGATGAGGCGCATGAAGATGGTAGCGAGGGGGATGTGCGGTTATGGTGAGGGGGGGAGCGGGGGACGGGCAAACGGGCTTGCGTATAGGCGGTGGTGGTTACAGCCCCTGAGGAAACATTTCTTCAAAACAGACACTGCAACTCAGTTGGGCAAATGCGAGACTCCCGAACACACCTGCTTACAAGTGCAGCCGAAAGCAGGGCCAGATGGCGCATGCGGTGCGCGAGAAAAGACAGCCTTCGTGTCGTGTGCGCGGAGTGGCGTGCCCTCAAGCAACTTCGATCTTCCATGGCTTGACACTGTGGGGCGAGGCCGACATAAAACGTGAGATACCCACGACCGCGAAATCGTTTTTTGTTGTGCTGGTGTCGTGCGTGTCGCGCGTGCGTGCGAGGCAAGACTGCGCGAGTTGCTGGCCTTGTTGATGCCAAACCAGGAAAACAAAACAGGGTCGACCCGCGACCGGGCCGCGGCTCTCGGTGGTCACGGTTCATGTCCCGATGGCTGTCCCCATGGTGGTCCCGATGGTTGTCCCGACGGTTGCCCCTCCTGGCCATCGCTCGGACGTCCATTCCCCGTGCCTTTTTCGGTTTCGGGCGTGGGTTTTCTCGCCACATGATCAAGGATGCTCCTCGATGGTCCTCGCCGAAGGAAACATGCACACGTCCGAGCGATGCCAAGTCAAGAGCCCCCTCCCCAGGCGCCCTGAGGCACCCGTGGCGATCCCGAAGCTTCCGGAGAGGAGGAGAGGCGGTGAGCACGGCCGCCCTGACGCGACCTTGGGCCGGCCCGTCGCGCTCCCACCAAGGCCCAACGGGTCCCAGAAACGGTGGGGGAAGGCGCGCTTCCCAAACGAGGCGCTTGGAGGCGAAAGCCCTCCGAGCCATACGATGCGCTGCTCGATTGGAACTTTCCGTGGAGGAGGAAGAGGAGGAGGAAGAAGAGGAGGAGGAGGCAAACCGCCACTCGGGGCCCTTGTGGGACGTCCATATGCTTGCGGCGCGGTGGCCACCGAGTTGCGCCACGAGCGTCGCGCGCTCGGCTCCTCCCTCGCGGCCTCCTCCCAAAGAGGAGGAAGAAAAAACAGCCCTGAGTTTCGAGCCTCGGGGTCGTCAGGCCCGACAGCTCTCCCCACGAGGCAACAAGAGAAGCACTTTTAGGAGGCAACTACTGGGAGGTTTTCGTCGGAATGATTAAGGAGGATGAAACCTCTTTTCGGAGCTGTTACGCCGGAAAGGGCCTCGGACTGAGCAGGTTGAAGCCGCATTAAGCGGGATTGCACGGGATTGAGCGGGACTAAACGGGATTAAGCGGGATCAAGCCGGATTTCGGACCAGGGCGAAAACAGAATTTGACCTCCCAGGAGTTGCAGAAGCACTTGGCGGCGCGCAAAGGGTGGTCGGGGGGAGGGGGGACGCCTCCTAGAAGGATGCTGCTTCTTGGAGGGCGCTGGCCCTCATCTGTAGGCAGGGCCCGCGCCTCCTACGAAGCAGGGGCGCTTCCAAATTCCCCCCTCCCCCTGGCGGCGCGCACAAGGGGGTGGGGGGAGGGGGGAGGGCTTCTTAGAAGCAGGCTGGCTGATCCCCCCCCTGCTGCGCGTGGTCGGGGTGCTCCGTTTTGGCCCCGGGAGGTGCCCCGGACACGATAGCTTGCACCGCACGGGCGGCCCAGGTCGGGCACGGCACTGTCACGGCACCTCGGCTTGCATGAGTGAAGGGGCCCTGGGACAAACAAATAAAAGGATTCCCCATACTTTCCCATATTTTCTGGGTTTTTGTCTTCCCCCCCACTTCCCATATTTTCCCATATTTTCTGGGGAATCGACGATTCATTGTGTCTGTGTTTTTTCCCCTCCTGAATGAGGCGCGCAGGAAGGCAGGGGCGGCACTCTTCACACGTGGGGGGCTGCTGACGAGCCGTACGCGGGCCACTCCCTGCGACTGGCGACCCCCAGGGTCGGCGACCACCTGCGATCAAGGAGCTTATCATTTGTAATCTGGGCCAGCTTCCCGGAAGTGACTCCAAGTAAGTCTGGGCCAGCCTCTGCTGTGATCGCTAGAGGGGCGAAGGTCTTCAAGAAACTGGGCACGATCCCTGGCAGGTTGGTTAAGGCACGCTGGCCCAGCTTTTCGGGGGGAGGCTTCTAAATCAGATGCTCGACTGTACAATTGCAGGTTCGTGTCGTGCCGACTTCGGCGTTGGTTCCTGACACCGCGGGGATCGTTCAACCTTGAACGAGCGGCCGCTTGCGAAACGTCGGATCGTTTAACATCGACCGATTATGGGTCGAAGGTGACGTTCGACTTTATACGCCGGCGGCGGGGTCGCCGCCGGTCGACACAACGCGAACCTACCTTACCCTCATAATGTCAGTCACGAGGCAACTCCTGGGAGACCATCGTCAGAATGATAATGGGCTAGTAAACCGGATTAATGGGTCACTGAACCGGATCAGGCTAAGGCGGATTATACGGGATCAGGCTGGACTAAGCGGGATTGAATCAGATTGGGCAAGTTTTCGACCAGGGATATATCAGAGCTGATTCAGGATTAAACCTCCCAGGAATTGCATCCTGGCGTAAAGTCCTCCAGTGCGGCAAACTACTATATTGCGACGGTGCCCCCCCCCCGATTTTGTCCAGGATGCGAACGATTAAAACGGGTGATCTGTATCTTGGCGGCGACGCCTTTGGTGAACCACGAACGAAGTGCCCTCCGTGCGCCATCGAAATCTGCCATGGAGCTAACATGAAAATCGCTCGCCGTCGAACACCAAATTCTCGCATTGTTGAATTTGGCAATGGCGTCGTCAACAACTGCCCCATGGAACAGACTTATTTGACAAGACGAGAGTAACCCTAAAGGATCTTTAGCATCCCCCCAAAGAAAGGAAATCAATTATCTGTTCGACGCCCTCATTGACGGACAGCGGTGCTACCAAACACGACGAATATTACTACGACTACGATTACGATTACGACAACGATGCGACGGGGAGGAGCCGGAGGACGTGGACCAGTGTAAGCCCAAGGCACATCAACGATGATGGAGCAGGAGGAGGAGGGAGATGAGGAGGAGGGAGATGAGGAGGGAGACTAGGAGGGGGAGGATGAGGAGAAGAAGAGGCGGAGGAGGGTGAGGGACGAGTCTTAGTCCCCGCTGAGGAAAGCGGGGGGGTGGAAAGCAAAACTAGAGATCTCCAGAGGTTCAGAAGAGCACCCTGGCAATCTGAGCCGTCGAGCAACCGCACCCGCGGGAGGACTCGAACAGGGCAGGGGTGTTCAGCAAACGCCCAGGGCCGTTCATGAAGCCCCGATCGTGAGGGTCGGGGTGGCATCTTCTCCCCCTTCTCCTCCGACGGCGCCCCCTCACGGCGAAGGACGCCGTCGCACATGTTCCACCGCTCGCTGCAGACCTCGTCGAGGAAGGACGCCGTGTGCGATATCACGAGGACGCCCCCCCCAAAGCCCTGCAAACCCGCGACCAGCGCCTGCGAGGGGCAGCGTCCAGAGTGAAGTCGGGCCTGCCCCTCTAGAGGAGGAATGTTCAAACATAGTCAAACATAATATTGGCACAACTTGTTTCTGTGCTAGACTATGTTTGAGTTTGTTGGGGGGGGGGGGGGTGATTTTGTCCTCCAACATCCGCCTGTAGGGGAACACGCC